TAATGCACCTGTAGGGCATATTGCAATTACTGGCTACATGTGAAAATCTTTGACATCTTTTGCATTGTTTAATGTGGTTTGGGTGTGGCTTATAGCCTTCTATGGTTACTTTACAATTTAATAGATATTTTATTTTAAAGATACTTTTAATTATTGGGGATTTTTTGATTGTCACCTGCCAGTATTTTTCCTTATATATGTTTATTGATATTATTTCTAATTCTGGTATAGCTTCATTGATAGCTGCCTTGATTTCAGCTTTGTCAAAAATTTCAGGAGGGATTTTTTTAATTATTATATTGTGCGGCTTTAGTTGTTTTGGGGTGTATGTGAAAAATATGCAATTTTCTTTAGTTAATATAGTTTTCGCCTGACTTAAATTGTCAATTGTAAAGACCTTAATATTAATTATGTTCTTATTTACTATGTTAACAGTATACTTAAAAGGTAATAAATTTCTTATTTTACGAATATTAACATTGTATAATACTATTACCGGTAAGTTATTTAAGGTTTCTTCTGGTTCGGCTGCTGTTGCTGTTGTCTTCGGCGCTGCTGGCTTTGTTGTCATCTTTGTTGGTTTGCTGGTGCTTGCTGTTATTCCAGGTTGTGGGCCCACTGGTTTTAGAGCTTTTTTTTTTTTTTTTTATATTCGTATTTATTTATAAAAAACAACACCTAGCGTAACATTAATACTTAGAGACTAGGAACGAGGCAAGGGCCCTTATTGTGCGGTACGGCCGCAAAGCAATGCTTCGCACAATAGTAGGCCTCTTAGCCCGTCCGCTCCCTTCTACTCCTCTCCAGCACTCTCAGAGCCTTGAGCACCTTGGCAGAGAATGCTGCTGTCGCTTCCCACAACCTGGGATTCTCCAACATCATCGGCACCAGCGTGTCCACCCTGATCTCCGCTCCTGCTACCTCCTCCAGGGCGGCCCTCTCCTCGTCGAATCTGCGGCATTCGAACACTACGTGGTAAACATCCTCCGCAACTCCAGAACCGCACTCCGGGCAACCATCCTCGTCGTCATGACCGAACCTCTTGAGGTAGCTACGGAAGCAACCATGCCCGCTCAAAACCTGGGTCAGGTAGAAATCCACCTGACCATGCTTCAGCTCCATCCATGCCACTAGGTTGGGGATCAGCCTGTGCGTCCAGCGCCCTTTGGACGAGGCGTCCCACTTCGCCTGCCAGCTCTCGTAGCTCCTTCCTCTAGCCGCGCTCTTCGCCTCGACCTTCGCGCCGCCTCCTGGTCCTTCGTGACTTCTCAGCGCACACCGAACCTCCGCCTTCTCACGGACCAGCTCCCTCAGGGGGACCATGCCGGCTATCACCAGGACGGCGTCGTCCGAAACCGTCCTGAACGCGCTCGCCACCCTAATAGCGCACAGTCTGTAGGTGGCCTCAACGCCCCGCATGTAGGATTTCGTCGCGGCTGCTTTTGCCCACACCGGCGCCGCATACAGTATTTGTGAAGTTACGACGCTCGTCAGCAGCTTCCTGGTGATCTGCTTGGGCCCTCTGGTGTTGATCAGTATGCGGGCGAGCCTTCCTGCCGTCCCGCTGGCCTTCTTCTGGGCATACTCCAGGTGCTCCCTGAATGACAGCCGTGTGTCGATTAGGACGCCGAGGTATTTAATCGCCCTCTGCGATCTGATCGCGGTTCCGCCGACCCGGATCTCGGCCGTTTCCACCGCTTTTCTGCTCGAAATCAGGACTGCCTCCGTTTTGTGCGCCGCTAGTTCCAGGCCGGCGCTCGTAAGCCATGCCTCGATCGTTCTGATCGCTTCGTTCGCCAGGTCTTCCGCAGCGGTACGCTCCTTGGCGGTTACGACCACTGCCACGTCGTCGGCGAACCCGACAACAGTAGTGTCACTGGGCATAGGTAGTCGCAGAACCCCGTCGTACATGGTGTTCCAGAGCAGGGGTCCCAACACGGAGCCCTGGGGGACTCCGGCCGAGACTTCGTATGCTCTGGAACCCATAGCTGACGCCACTACGAGCACTCTCTCACTAAAATAGCTCCTTACTACTTTTAGTAAGTACCCTGGGATATTCAGGGCGACGAGGGACTCCAAGGTTCGGTTCCAATCCGCGGTGTTGAAGGCGTTCCTTATGTCAAGCGTAACCACGAGACAGTAGCTCTTGGAGCCGCCTTTCCACCTCGTACCCGCGATAGCCGAACCAGCTATGTCCTTGACCAACTCAATGGCATCGAGCGTGGACCTCCCTTTCCGGAAACCGAACTGGCTCGGGGAGAGACCTCCGGACTCCTCGATGGCCGCAGTTAGTCTGGCTGCCACGATCTTCTCGAACACCTTGCCAGCGGTGTCGGTCAGGCAGATTGGCCTAAAGGAGGATGGCTCCCCCGGTGGCTTGCCCGGCTTAGAGAGCAGCAGCAGCTTCTGCCTTTTCCACCTCTCCGGAAAGATTCCCTCCTCCAGGCACTTGGAGTACAATGCGGCGAACTCCCTCGGGTGAAGTGCTATAGCTAATTTTAGGGCCCTGTTGGGTATGGCATCCGGCCCCGGCGCCTTCTTGTGGTGCACGCTCCTCCCCAGCCGAATCACCTCCTCTTCTGAGACTTCGCAGTCGACATCGAGGTGGCGGTCCGCGCTCGGCTCCACGGTCACCGGAGCTCCACTCGACAACAGCGCTCGCACAATGGCATCCAGCTCCTCGGGGTCCGATGGAGCTGTGCTGCCAGCTCTCAGGCTCTTGACCACCATCCGGTACGCACCGCCCCAAGGGTCCTCCTCCGCCTCGTCGCAGAGCTGCAGGAATCGGTCCCTCTTTGCGCCTCTTATGGCCACCTTGAGGGCCTTCCTCGCAATTCTGAAGGCCTCGCTACACTCCAAGGCTCGCGGAGAGCCGCGCGCACGAGTCAGCTGCCTGCGGGCACGGTGGCAGGTGGATCGCAGATCGGCGATCTCGTCGCTCCACCAGAAGACTGGCCTACGACTTCCTCGGAACGACCCTCTCAGCCGCATGCTCTGGTCGCATGCATGCTCCAGCGCTGCTGCCACATGGTTTGCCATCCCTTCAGCCCCACGCGGCTCCCCCGTTACCATGCCATCCAACACATTGGTAAACGTCCGGAAGCACAGCGTGTCCGGCCGGAAAGCTTTTTCGGGCCGCAGAGCCGAACGGGTACCTACAACAGGCACACCGACGGAGCACAGGATCGCCTCGTGGTCGCTCCCGGTGTAGACCTCGCTAACCTCCCATTTGGCATAGTGGGAGATTGCTCTGCTCACAAATGTGAGGTCGATGACAGAGGCGGCTCCCGCTCTGACAAATGTGTGCCGCCCCCCGTTATTTAGGAGGACGACGTCTGTCGCGGCCAAAGCCTCCAGCACCACGCGTCCTCTGGCGTTGGTCAGGACCGATCCCCACTCCTGGGCCCAAGCGTTGAAGTCGCCTCCGACTATGACGTTGGCCCTTCCACATAGGTCGCTGCTGAGGTCCTCAAGGATCCTGCTGTACGCCTCCAGCGGGAGGCTAGGCGCCAGATAGCAGCTATAGATATGGTAGCCGCCAACTTCCGCCCTAACGAATCCATCTGCTACCAGGATGTTGGACATTTGCCGCAGGCCGTCGCCACAGAGCCACAGGGCCGCCTTGCCAGAGCGGTCCTTGGCCCACACTCCTCCCTCTCTAACCCTGTAGGGCTCGCTGATTATGGCTACATCCGCCCCTACCTCGCGCACCGTCTGCGTCAGCAGGTCCTGCGCAGCCCTGCAGTGATTCAGGTTGAGTTGTATCAGCTGCATTCGGGTCTTGAGCGGACGAGCCCGCCATTTGTGCCCGGAGTCCTTTTTTTGTCCGGCTGGTGGTTCGACTCTCCAGGGCCGACTCCTCTGCCGGAACTGCAGGTAGCAGCCTTGTGGCCTGCTTCGCCACACTTGATGCAGCAACCGCTTTTGTCCACCAGACTCTTACACCTGATGGCGATGTGCCCGAGTTCCAGGCATCTAAAGCAGCGCGGGGGGCCCTCGCGTTCACGGACTCTACACCGGGTCCATCCTATGCGGACCTCGCCTCGCCGCCTAACCTCCGACGCCATACTGCTAGGCAGGCTGAGGACCGCCGTTTTTGTTTCCCCGTACCCGGGGCGGAGGCTTCGGATCCTCACTGCACCTTCACTCAGCTGGTATTGGTCTGAGAAGGCTGTACGGATCTCGCTCTCTGTCGTGATCGCGTCGAGGTTACGAATCTCGAAGACGCAGACCTTCGACTCCTCCGTCAGCGCTCGCACTTCAGCCGCGTCGCCGAGGACCTGAGAGATGCTGGCCCTCATGGACTCGGCACTCTCGTTGCTCCCTCTGGCTACCTCCAGGAGCAAGTTGCCCCTGGCCGTCCTACGCACCTTGCTGACTGACCCTCCGAGGTTGGTCAGCTTGCTGTCCTCCCTTCTGGTGACCAGCGCCAGGATCTCGTTGTAACTTTTTCCTGGTGCCTCTACTATCACCGCGTCGGGGCGAGCTTTGCGGGTTTGCTTCTTCCTCCTGACCACGGTGCTCCACGAGTCCCCGCCGTTCGCTGGCACGGGATCTGGAGGCCTTGTTGGTCCAGTTGCGTTCCCTGTCCCGTACCCTGTTGCCCGAGACTTTGCTTGGGGAGCTCGTTGGGCATTCCGGATACCCCTCGCCGTCGCTGCGGGGGCTGTAGCCTGGACTTGTGGGGCTCGCGTCCGCCCTGGGACTTCGCTACTCGTCCCCGCGTCTGTTGGCTGGCTGAACCTTCGCCACGGCTCCGTTTGGACTGCCCGGTCCTTCCTCCCTGCGGCCGCCGTTTGCTGGGCCTTGCTTACGCCAGGCTTGCCGCCAGGTGCTGCCTGAGAGCACTTGGAGCAAACGCTCTCACGAGCGTACGGCTCCCTGGGCTCCTCAGGTCCTTCGGCCGCCAGCTCTATGCAAGAGTTCAGGTTCCGCATCTCGTCAATCATTGACCTTATGGCGTTGTTGATGTGGCGAACCTGCTTCTCATGGACCAGGCTATGAAGCTCGTCCAGCAGCTTTCCGAGCCTGCAAGCGCTCTCCGTGCGCGTAAGCCGCAGGATCCCCCTTGTCCATTTCCGTCTCCTGGCTTGGTGCAGTACCTACCGAGGCGGCCAAGTCAGCCACCGCCTCGACGGGGTGTGATGGAGTGTTGGGTAGGGCCTCCAGAATCCTTGCCCTAGCCGTGGGTTTCCCCACGGGTGGATTTCCACTTTTGTGGCTGCCACCTGGAGTAATTATGTTGTATTCCGACATTCCAGTAAAGGGTGCATTGTCGCCCAATGCAAGGCTGCATTTTATACCTTCTGCCAGGTTCTTTGGCTACCGGCCACTATGGCACAGACGCAGACCAGGTAGTCGCCCACTGTGGGTCAGACGCTACCTGGGTTTGGAATTTAAGTGCAGCTATCGCCTGCTGCCAGGCATTTACCACCGCCGGCCCCCATGGCACCGACACGGTTTCACGCAGCCGCCCACTTTGGGACCGACGCTGCGAGGGGTTTGGGAAGGACAGACGAAACGGCCAGTGCACTTTCGGGGTCCCACGTTGGCCAGGAGTTTCCCCGTGACTGAACGGGTGGGAGTTATACCGCTCCTGCTCGGTCGCCAGAGCCCCGTTAGGAATGGTGAGCCGCGTAGCGGTGGGGATGGCGGTTGGTCAGATCCTTGACCTTTACCACACTCAGGCCCTCCCAGTGCAGCTTAGGACTTAGGTTTCCCCACTTCCCCTTACCCCTTGCCAAGGATCACGGCCCGCAGCCCAGAAATATATGCTACCTCAAGCATATGTAGAGCAGACGTGGGTGTCGCATCAAGGAGCTTTCTACAGCATGTGAAACGGCTTGACAGCGCCACCTGTCGCTCGAGTAGCCCGACGCCACCAAAGGCAGGGGGGGGCTGCCAGACCGGGTTGGTCTCCGGCACCCCACAACACTAGGCCCAGCTGATCTCGCCGACAGCTGACGTGACTAGCGAAAAAACTGCGGGGGCAGCCACGTTTACCTCGGGAGAAGCAACTCGCGAAAGCAACAGAGGCAATAACAAAAAACATCGGGGGAAATGCTCTCACCACTCTCTCCGTCGACTCGAATCATTGGAATCCGAGGTTTGGATTTTCCGGATCCTCCGCGGACGCCTGTGACCCGGCTCTGCACGTGAGTACCGCCGTCAGCTTCACGCAGCCTGCCGGCGCCCCGTTGCGCAGGGTACACCGCCGCAACCCGCGCACCAGACACAAATTGCGGGAGCACCACCGCAGTGCAACCGCACTCGCGACCACGTCACACACCTCCCGCCTGTGTGTCAACTGGTTTTAGAGCTGGAAATTCGCAATTGTCGTGTTCCGCTAATGGCAGGTAGTAGTTTGTTTTGTTGATGTTTTTATCGTTGTTTTTGTTGTTATTGCTGTTGTTATTTTTGTTGTTAATATTGTCGCTTTTGTTGTTGTTGCCCTTTTTATCAGTATTATTGTTGCTTAGGATTTGTTTTTTTAGAGTTATTATTTCTTTTTGGTATTCTTCATTAATTGTTTTTATTTTATGAAACTCCACCATCAAAGCTTTTAGTTGCTCTTTGATTCCTTCTTCATCTTGTTCTTCATCACTGCTGTTGGGGTCATAATCGTCTTCACTGTTTCTTCTGATGATATTTCATATCGACGTTTGTTGTTTTGATTATCAACTTCCATTTCATGAATTTGATCACAGTTAGTTGGCTCATTTTCAGGCACTTGAGATCGCTTTTTTGCACTTGATTCCATATTGACTATTTCGTTTCGACGCTTCCTGATTATTTGTTTTGTTTCATTTAATTGAACTATTGCTAAAGGTTTTTGTTGTTGTGTTTCTGCCGTTGTTTTCTCTTTGTTTTGTTGTTGTTGTTGTTGTTGTTGTAGTTGTTGTTGCTGATGCTGTTGTTGTTGCTGTTGCTGCAGCTGTCGCTGCATCTGCTGTTGTTGTTGTTGTTGCTGATATTGTTGTTTCTGCTGATTTAGTTGTTGTTGCTGTGGCTGCTGTTGTAGTTGTTGTTGTGGTTTCTGTTGATGTGGCTGCTGCTGTTGTGACTGCTGTTGTTGTGGTTGTTGTTGTTGTGGCTGCTGTTGCTGTGGCTGTTGTTGTTGTGGCTGCTGTTGTTTTGGCTGCTGTTGCTGCGGCTGTTGTTGTTGTGGCTGCTGTTGTTGTGGCTGCTGTTGCTGCGGCTGTTGTTGTTGTGGCTGCTGTTGTTGTGGCTGTTGTTGCTGTGGTTTTTGTGACTGCTGTTGTAGTTGTAGTTGTTTTTGCTGCGATTTTAGCTGTTGTAGCTGCTTTTGTTGTTGTAGTTGTTGTAGTTGTTTTAAACGTATGTTCTCTACTTTTAGTATTGCTATTGCTTGAGCACTTTGTATTTTTTGTTGCTGATTTACTATTTGCACAGTTGTGGTTATTATTGCTTTTTTATTATTAATTTCTTGCCATTGTTGTCGTTGTTGTTCTTCTTTAGCATTTAGCGCTTCGTCAGTTATTCTTTTAGATGTGGTTGGTAATTGCTTATTGGCCATTGGTTGCCGTTCGTCATTATTTTTCACTTGCGGGTTATTCACTGTTGTTTTAGCTTCTTCTGCTTCTTCACTAGCTACTTCTAGCTTATCATTGTGTTTGATTTTCGTTTCACTTGTTATTTTTGCTCTGGCCGCTGCCGCTGCGCTTGCAGCCACACGCCTTGCGGCGGCTTTCTTTTTCACTTCCTCCGTTTCGCTCACTGTTTCTCTACTTTTCTTTATGTTTACTCCTGTCTCTGTCAGGTTCACTTTGCTAAACCTTTGCACTTTGCCAAGCTTTTACTTTTTACTTTTAACTTTGCCTCCTTTACCGCGACCAGTCATTTTTCACTCTTTTATTTTAACACTTCGAAAGTCACCACTGAACTAATGTAGAAATCAATTTCAAGACTGACCTGCGATTCCAGAGCTCTGCCGTAATGGCTCTGCAGGAAGCTAGCGAAGCCTATCTGGTTGGTCTCTTTGAAGACACCAACTTGTGTGCCATCCGCGCCAAGCGAGTCACAATCATGCCCAAGGACATCCAGCTGGCCCGTCGCATCCGTGGCGAGCGTGCTTAAGTTGCTTTTGACTAGCAGCCAAAGCGGCAATACATTTTGTACAAATCGGTCCTTTTCAGGACCACAAATATCTTTAAAACTGAGACTATAAATTTTCATATCTATAATTATTTACATTTTTTAAATAAAACATTCTCCTTGCGTTTTTCTGGTTAAATTTGTCAGAATGTATACATGGAAAATAAATACGTTCTTTAAATGTGTGTAGTGAGATACTTTTAGTAGGTATCGGTACAAAATTCGAAATACAAAGCAGATATTTTTAAAAGTTATGTTAAAGACTTATTTATGAACCATTTGTATGGAAAGGTTTATTCAAACATAATCCAGTATATTTTTTAATGCATAGTTTTTGAGATCGTAATGAAATGGGAATAAAAATGCTAATACAAGCAATAAGGCAAATATTCTATTAACAAAAATATATGTATATATAAGAGATAAAAACTTTTTTGATACACCAGATACATTTACGATATTAAAATTACGCTATTAATTAAAAATCTAAAAATTTCATTCTTAAATGTATTTAATTTCGTCTCTCCTTGGGTAATAGACTCGGGTAAACTCTAATATGAATGTTGTATGGGGGACGTAATAGGGCATTACTAAGAAACGAATCCATAAATTCCCTTCAAAACTTTATTGACTAAAAGAACTTACTTATTTTTTTAATAAAATCAACAAAAATTAATATATTTTAATGTATTTATATTTTTTAGGTAGTTAAAACCATATCCGATAGTACCAAGAAAGTCGACCATTTTTTAATGAGAGGACCAGTTTAAAAGTGGTCGTAAAATACTTTTTGTTGTAAAAATTGCAACTATTTTTATTGTTTCTTCAAGTAAAAGGTTCAAATTTTACTTTTTCTTAAAAATGTTTAGTATCTTTAAAATATTTAATATTTTTACACATGATTTTTAACGAAATGCTATGCCTACAAATTTAAATCTTGAACTTCAGACAGCCATACAAAATGACCCAAAGACTTATTTCACCTTTTAATAAATGTAACTGTTTTATGAAACATTTAAGAACTAAAAATATTTAAAACCTTGTATCATTTAATTACACAACACAGGTAAAAGGAGAAAATGAAATTGCAGATCGAGCAAACATTGGCAGCGTAAACGAGCGCTGCCAAACACATAGTTAAAGTGCTCTCCTCCTCGATTCTCAAAAAACTTTCTTAAGCACTTCAGTATGCTGCAATTTCTATACAAACAAAAGTGTTTTTCGTTAGTTTTCGAAAAGAAATAGTGAAGCAAAATGTCGGACTCTGCAGTGGCAACATCCGCGTCCCCAGTGGCTGCCCCACCAGCGCCAGTTGCGAAGAAGGTGGCCGCCAAAAAGGCATCTGGATCAGGAGCTACAAAGGCAAAGAAGGCTGCAGTCCCGCCATCACATCCGCCAACTCAGCAAATGGTGGACGCTTCCATCAAGAACTTGAAGGAACGTGGGGGCTCATCGCTTCTGGCAATCAAGAAATATATCACTGCCACCTACAAATGCGACGCCCAAAAACTGGCTCCATTCATCAAGAAGTACTTGAAGTCTGCTGTGGCCAATGGAAAGCTGATCCAAACAAAGGGAAAGGGTGCTTCTGGTTCCTTCAAACTGTCAGCCTCTGCCAAAAAGGAGCCCAAGCCAAAGGTTGCGGCTGCTGAGAAGAAGGTCAAAACCAAGAAGGTAGTCACCAAGAAAGCCGGGGCCACCGCAAAGAAAGCTGCCGGTGCTGCTGACAAGAAACCCAAGGCTAAGAAGGCCGTTGCCACCAAGAAGACTGCCGAGAAGAAGAAAACTGAGAAGGCAAAGGCCAAGGATGCTAAGAAAACTGGAGTTGTAAAGGCAAAGCCAGCAGCAGCGAAAGCTAAGCCGGCCGCCGCAAAGCCAAAGGCAGCCAAGGCACCAAAGGCCAAGGCAGCAGCGTCCGCCAAGCCCAAGAAGGCAGTAAAGAAAGCAACTGCTCCAGCTACCGCTAAGAAGCCGAAGGCCAAGACTACGGCGTCCAAGAAGTAAATTAAGATAATCTCTATTATCGCAATTTTAGATTTCGAATTCTGAAATTTGAAATTAATTTAAACAAGCCCTTTTCAGGGCTACAAAATCTTCTTAAAGAGACCAAAAATTATCAATGTTTTAAATATGGAGTGTTTAACTGTAGAGTAGATCCGCCTATACCAATTAAATCCTTTTTTAGGATTTGGTAATAGCATATCTCAGTGAAGTAGTCATTTCCGACCCTATAAATTATATATATTCTTGATCAGCATCAACAACTGAATCGATATAGCGTTGGTCGTGAGGGAAAAAAAATATTACTACATTTTTGGAACATTTTTTAAGGGGTTATATTATTGAAATTGCACATTTATTAACCCTATAAAACCGCAGAACAGCATTTTGTTTTAAAAATTTTACTTTTATTTATATATTAAATAAGAATAGGGCTCTTGAAAATTTCGTTTCTTTGGTAAAACTTGTTGTGGCCCTGAAAAGGGCCTTTTTAATGTTCCTCCGCATCTGCGAGAAAATTTACTTGGAGCTGGTGTACTTGGTGACAGCCTTGGTTCCCTCACTGACGGCGTGCTTAGCCAACTCTCCGGGCAGGAGCAGGCGAACAGCAGTTTGGATTTCCCGACTGGTGATGGTAGAGCGCTTGTTGTAGTGCGCCAGACGAGAAGCCTCGGCAGCAATACGCTCGAAGATGTCATTCACAAAGCTGTTCATGATGCTCATCGCTTTCGAGGAAATGCCAGTGTGGGGATGGACCTGCTTCAGGACCTTGTAAATGTAGATAGCATAGCTCTCCTTCCTCTTCCGCTTCTTCTTCTTGTCGTTCTTGGTGATGTTCTTCTGGGCCTTGCCAGCCTTCTTGGCTGCCTTTCCACTAGTTTTCGGCGGCATTATTTCACTTCACTTCACTGCACGATTCACTGATCATGGCAGTTTTTTTTCAATTTCAATTTCCGTTTATTTGTCAGTCAAATTCTAAGTATACATTTTGTACTCCTGATCTTATATGTAACATATAGAAAGGAACTAATTCTAATATTACAGTTTTTCATGATTTGAAGCTTTTGTCATACGCTTATTGCTTTCATGACGCTAGATTTTACATTGGCTTATTTGCTATTTGTAGCTTTATATTGGGTTTATTGCATTTTTGTTTCTTAATTAGTTTTATAATTCTGGGAAAAGTTTTCAAGTAAAAACCCAGCTTAATTTATATCTTATAGATAGTATGTTTTGTGGCGGAGGGAGGGGCGGGGTGGGGGGGTTTATTTACAAAGTGTGTGGAGTATTTACATATGTACATGGGGGGGGGCTTATATTATTGGTACATTAGGCCATCTCTTGGATTTAGTGATCTAAATTTCCTATAGTAAAAAATTAAATTTTTATTTTCGTCATAGATAATATTTTTTGTTTTTAAATCTTCTAAGTGATTTAATGTTAACAATTCAATAGGGTAGTCATATAGTATTTCCGTTTGTTCAATGTTATTGTTTGTTATAAAGTGTTCTAAAATTTTGAAGGCTTGTTCGTCAATTTTTGTTGTTTTTGTTCGTTTATATATTTGTTTGTTTGGTACAGTGTTTCTGTAGTTGTTGTCAATAGCTTTTCTGAGTAAGAATCTTTCGTATCGTCTTAGTTTTTCCATCTGGTGGGATTTAATACTCATCCATGCTGTGTGTCCGTACAGTAAGATTGGTTGTATTAGTTTTCGGTATGTTAGTATTTTAATTTGCTCTAGTTTTTTCTTTTTGTTATTGTTCGGTAAGAATATGTGTTGAATGTTTTTTGCTCTTATTTTTGCTTTGTTTAATGTGTTGTCTATATGTGATTTAAAATTTAATTTTTCGTCATATGTGACTCCTAAATATTTTAATTCTCTGTTGAATTTGATTGGAATATTATTGTATATGTAAAGTTTGGGTTGGTAGTGTCTTGAATTTTTGTATAAATTACTAATTTTTGGCCCTCTGAAAAAGCAGCTGGTGCATTTTTCACTATTTAACTTTAATTGCCATCTTGTAAAATAATTTGATAGCTTGTCTAAGTATTGATTAAGTTCTACTTCTAGACTCGCGGTGTGGCCACCAGAGCCGAGAAGTAGTATGTCGTCTGCGTATGTTAGCTGAATTATGTCGACTGTTGTTTGTGGATTTTGTGTATACTTGGGTAGATCATGAAGATAAATGTTATATAAAATTGGTCCTAGGAGTGATCCTTGTGGTACTCCTGCTGTTATATTCCTTACAATGGAATTTTCTTGAGTTGGGCTTGAGACATGGAATGTTCTATTTGTAAGGTAACTATGAGTAATTTTTAGTAAGTTTTGGTTAAAATTTAACAGTTTCATTTTATATATTAGTGCATTTGTCCAGACTGTATCAAATGCTTTTTCAAAGTCAAGGGCACACGCTGCTGTGCCTCTTTTCTTATGGATGTTTTGATAGATGAAACTGTTAGCTTTATGAAAGGCATTATTTACTGAGATGTTCTCTCTGAAGCCAAATTGGCCTTTATTTAGAACATTATATTCTCGAAGATGTTTTTTAATGTGTTTTATTAGCACCTTTTCAAATAGCATTCCTATGGCAGAGAGTATAGTGATAGGTCTATAGCTTTTAAGGTAATGTGGGTTTGTCTTTGGTTTTTGTATTGGGATTATTTTCCCGTGCTTCCATTGTTTGGGAAAGTACGAGCAGTTTATGCAATGGTTGAAAATTTTGCATAATTCTACAATTACTGGCATGTTTAAATATTTTAGCAAGAAATTACTAGTTCCGTCTGGTCCATCGTCTTCTTGTTATTTTTATTTTTTATCATTTCGAGTACTTCTTCTGGGTTTGTGAAACCTAGTTCTTCTGCTGCTTGCCATTTCCCTTCTGCTGTTTGTATGTCATTAAATGTTGTTATTTTAGTTTCATTTGTGTTTAATTGTTCTACTTCTGTTTCTACTGTCGTTCTGTGCGTTCTTAGTTCTGTGTTTGTTAAAGTCATGTTGTCGTTTTGTTTGTGAATTTGCTCAAAGGACCATGCTAGGGCATTTATTTTTTCAAAGTCAGAGGTGAGAATGTTCGAGTTGGTTTCAAAGTCTATTTGTGTTTTTTCAGTGTTGTTTAATATTATGTTTGACTGTAACTGTTCTTTTGTGGTTATGCCTGGGTTTATGTTGTGAAGTGTTCTGTGGCTTATTCTGCATACATTGATTTTTTCTAGCCTTGTTCTTATAATCCTAAGTTCCGTCTCTTCTATCATTATGTTTATTTGGTAGTCTATTTCTTGGATTGCTTGTTTAATAGAAGATTTTTGATTTTCAGTCATTGTCATGGTTTTGTTTGCAGTATTCGTCTGAGTTTGCGTTTTTGTGCTATAAGTTTAATGCACTTTGGTCCTAGTTGAATTGATTGGTTTGTAGAGTTTGGTTTTATCTTTAGTTTTGGTATAGCTTGTGGATTATTTAATGCTCTGTCTATTGCTATTGTTAAGTTTGTTATGTGCTGGTCAATATCATTTTTATTTAGGTTCGTGTGGTTTGGTGTTGGGTTTATGTTTTGTAGGATCGTTCTGTTCCAAGCTACTGAGTCTATTCGATTAAATTTATGAACTATTTTTGGGCCGTTATTTAATAAACGAGTTTTACCTATTTTTAAGGCGATTTCTATTGCATGATGGTCAGATGGATAGTCTTTTAACACTGTACAGCCTTTTGTAGGTTGCTACTTAAGGCTGCCATTGTGGAGGTTATAAAGAGATCTATGGACGAGTCTATTTTTTTATTCGGACGTGTTGGTTCGATTGGCGGACAAATTGTAAGTTCTGGAATATTTGTTATCCAGTCAAATAAAACTTTCCCTGCAGTATTGAAGTGTTGATTGGAAAAACTTGGTTTGTGCCATGTCGGATGTTTTGCATTTAGATCACAGCCTATGATTATTTTATTTACTTGAGGTACTTGTTTTAGTGTATTGTATATATTTTCTAAGTCTTCAGTTTGTAGTTTGTCCTGTGGTCTGTTGTAAAGTGTTGCTACAATGATATTCTCTATGTTGTTTTGGGTTTTTTGGGTTAATTGTATGGCTATGGCTTCAACTGATTTAGTTTGTGTTAAGTTTATTCTGTTGTATTTATGTTGTTTTTTAGGCAGATGGCCACTTGGTTAAGTTTTGTGTTTATTTCTGTTGTTGTGTTTTGTCTTATTAGTCTGTAGTTTGTTAGCATGGGTGGGTTATTTTCGCTGAGATGATGTTCTGCTAGGTGCATTACATCGGGTTTGTGTTTGGCTAGAAATTGGTTGAGTTCAGCTCTTTTCTGAGCTGTCTCATACTATTTACATTGAGGAAAATGCATTTTAATTTCATTACTTATTTTGCGTCATATTGAAAATAAAGTCAAGTATTATTCGATTTTTATCATCTTCGTCGTTTGCATTTGGATATTTAGTTAAAGTTTTTTGCATAATTTTTATGCACGTAACTAGATCTTTCCCGTAGGTCTTAATAGTGTCATTGTTTATTGTGTCTATTGTAATTTGAGGTGAACTGTCGAGTTGTTTGTTTTGTGGGTTTGTCATGTTCCGTTCGGTATTTTGAAAAGGGAAGAGAAGCTTTTGTTCGGGACTACTCTATTGAATTGTGAATTTTTTGTAATTTGCTGATTTGTTTTTATTTCGTTTTGAACTCTCTTTTGTGCAATTTTTTTAACTAGACTTATTCTAATAGGACATATTTTAGCATTCGCAGTGTGTTCCCCCTTACAGTTTACACACTGAGGCTTTATAGTTTGTGTTTCAGTATTACTATCAGGCTTTTTTAGATCACAGTTTCCTGGGCCGTGAGGTTTAAGGCATTTAATACACCTGTAGGGCATATTGCAATTACTGGCTACATGTGAAAATCTTTGACATCTTTTGCATTGTTTAATGTGGTTTGGGTGTGGCTTATAGCCTTCTATGGTTACTTTACAATTTAATAGATATTTTATTTTAAAGATATTTTTAATTATTGGGGATTTTTTGATTGTCACCTGCCAGTATTTTTCCTTATATATGTTTATTGATATTATTTCTAATTCTGGTATAGCTTCATTGATAGCTGCCTTGATTTCAGCTTTGTCAAAAATTTCAGGAGGGATTTTTTAATTATTATATTGTGCGGCTTTAGTTGTTTTGGGGTGTATGTGAAAAATATGCAATTTTCTTTAGTTAATATAGTTTTCGCCTGACTTAAATTGTCAATTGTAAAGACCTTAATATTAATTATGTTCTTATTTACTATGTTAACAGTATACTTAAAAGGTAATAAATTTCTTATTTTACGAATATTAACATTGTATAATACTATTACCGGTAAGTTATTTAAGGTTTCTTCTGGTTCGGCTGCTGTTGCTGTTGTCTTCGGCGCTGCTGGCTTTGTTGTCATCTTTGTTGGTTTGCTGGTGCTTGCTGTTATTCCAGGTTGTGGGCCCACTGGTTTTAGAGCTGGAAATTCGCAATTGTCGTGTTCCGCTAATGGCAGGTAGTAGTTTGTTTTGTTGATGTTTTTATCGTTGTTTTTGTTGTTATTGCTGTTGTTATTTTGTTGTTAATATTGTCGCTTTTGTTGTTGTTGCCCTTTTTATCAGTATTATTGTTGCTTAGGATTTGTTTTTTTAGAGTTATTATTTCTTTTGGTATTCTTCATTAATTGTTTTATTTTATGAAACTCCACCATCAAAGCTTTTAGTTGCTCTTTGATTCCTTCTTCATCTTGTTCTTCATCACTGCTGTTGGGGTCATAATCGTCTTCACTGTTTTCTTCTGATGATATTTCATATCGGCGTTTGTTGTTTTGATTATCAACTTCCATTTCATGAATTTGATCACAGTTAGTTGGCTCATTTTCAGGCACTTGAGATCGCTTTTTTGCACTTGATTCCATATTGACTATTTCGTTTCGACGCTTCCTGATTATTTGTTTTGTTTCATTTAATTGAACTATTGCTAAAGGTTTTGTTGTTGTGTTTCTGCCGTTGTTTTCTCTTTGTTTTGTTGTTGTTGTTGTTGTTGTAGTTGTTGTTGCTGATGCTGTTGTTGTTGCTGTTGCTGCAGCTGTCGCTGCATCTGCTGTTGTTGTTGTTGTTGCTGATATTGTTGTTTCTGCTGATTTAGTTGTTGTTGCTGTGGCTGCTGTTGTAGTTGTTGTTGTGGTTTCTGTTGATGTGGCTGCTGCTGTTGTGACTGCTGTTGTTGTGGTTGTTGTTGTTGTGGCTGCTGTTGCTGCGGCTGTTGTTGTTGTGGCTGCTGTTGTTTTGGCTGCTGTTGCTGCGGCTGTTGTTGTTGTGGCTGCTGTTGTTGTGGCTGCTGTTGCTGCGGCTGTTGTTGTTGTGGCTGCTGTTGTTGTGGCTGTTGTTGCTGTGGTTTTTGTGACTGCTGTTGTAGTTGTAGTTGTTTTTGCTGCGATTTTAGCTGTTGTAGCTGCTTTTGTTGTTGTAGTTGTTGTAGTTGTTTTAAACGTATGTTCTCTACTTTTAGTATTGCTATTGCTTGAGCACTTTGTATTTTTTGTTGCTGATTTACTATTTGCACAATTGTGGTTATTATTGCTTTTTTATTATTAATTTCTTGCCATTGTTGTCGTTGTTGTTCTTCTTTAGCATTTAGCGCTTCGTCAGTTATTCTTTTAGATGTGGTTGGTAATTGCTTATTGGCCATTGGTTGCCGTTCGTCATTATTTTTCACTTGCGGGTTATTCACTGTTGTTTTAGCTTCTTCTGCTTCTTCACTAGCTACTTCTAGCTTATCATTGTGTTTGATTTTCGTTTCACTTGTTATTTTTGCTCTGGCCGCTGCCGCTGCGCTTGCAGCCACACGCCTTGCGGCGGCTTTCTTTTTCACTTCCTCCGTTTCGCTCACTGTTTCTCTACTTTTCTTTATGTTTACTCCTGTCTCTGTCAGGTTCACTTTGCTAAACCTTTGCACTTTGCCAAGCTTTTACTTTTTACTTTTAACTTTGCCTCCTTTACCGCGACCAGTCATTTTTCACTCTTTTATTTTAACACTTCGAAAGTCACCACTGAACTAATGTAGAAATCAATTTCAATTTCAATTTCCAGCGTCTGGTGCGTGAAATCGCTCAGGACTTCAAGACTGACCTGCGATTCCAGAGCTCTGCCGTAATGGCTCTGCAGGAAGCTAGCGAAGCCTATCTGGTTGGTCTCTTTGAAGACACCAACTTGTGTGCCATCCACGCCAAGCGAGTCACAATCATGCCCAAGGACATCCAGCTGGCCCGTCGCATCCGTGGCGAGCGTGCTTAAGTTGCTTTTGACTAGCAGCCAAAGCGGCAATACATTTTGTACAAATCGGTCCTTTTCAGGACCACAAATATCTTTAAAACTGAGACTATAAATTTTCATATCTATAATTATTAACATTTTTTAAATAAAACATTCTTGCGTTTTTCTGGTTAAATTTGTCAGAATGTATACATGAAAAATAAATACGTTCTTTAAATGTGTGTAGTAAGATACTTTTAGTAGGTATCGGTACAAAATTCGAAATACAAAGCAGATATTTTTAAAAGTTATGTTAAAGACTTATTTATGAACCATTTGTATGGAAAGGTTTATTCAAACATAATCCAGTATATTTTTTAATGCATAGTTTTTGAGATCGTAATGAAATGGGAATAAAAATGCTAATACAAGCAATAAGGCAAATATTCTATTAACAAAAATATATGTATATATAAAAGATAAAAAACTTTTTTGATACACCAGATACATTTACGATATTAAAATTACGCTATTAATTAAAAATCTAAAAATTTCATTCTTAAATGTATTTAATTTCGTCTCTCCTTGGGTAATAGACTCGGGTAAACTCTAATATGAATGTTGTATGGGGGACGTAATAGGGCATTACTAAGAAACGAATCCATAAATTCCCTTCAAAACTTTATTGACTAAAAGAACTTACTTATTTTTTTAATAAAATCAACAAAAATTAATATATTTTAATGTATTTATATTTTTTAGGTAGTTAAAACCATATCCGATAGTACCAAGAAAGTCGACCATTTTTTAATGAGAGGACCAGTTTAAAAGTGGTCGTAAAATACTTTTTGTTGTAAAAATTGCAACTATTTTTATTGTTTCTTCAAGTAAAAGGTTCAAATTTTACTTTTTCTTAAAAATGTTTTGTATCTTTAAAATATTTAATATTTTTACACATGATTTTTAACGAAATGCTATGCCTACAAATTTAAATCTTGAACTTCAGACAGCCATACAAAATGACCCAAAGACTTATTTCACCTTTTAATAAATGTAACTGTTTTATGAAACATTTAAGAACTAAAAATATTTAAGACCTTGTATCATTTAATTACACAACACAGGTAAAAGGAGAAAATGAAATTGCAGATCGAGCAAACATTGGCAGCGTAAACGAGCGCTGCCAAACACATAGTTAAAGTGCTCTCCTCCTCGATTCTCAAAAACTTTCTTAAGCACTTCAGTATGCTGCAATTTCTATACAAACAAAAGTGTTTTTCGTTAGTTTTCGAAAAGAAATAGTGAAGCAAAATGTCGGACTCTGCAGTGGCAACATCCGCGTCCCCAGTGGCTGCCCCACCAGCGCCAGTTGAGAAGAAGGTGGCCGCCAAAAAGGCATCTGGATCAGGAGCTACAAAGGCAAAGAAGGCTGCAGTCCCGCCATCACATCCGCCAACTCAGCAAATGGTGGACGCTTCCATCAAGAACTTGAAGGAACGTGGGGGCTCATCGCTTCTGGCAATCAAGAAATATATCACTGCCACCTACAAATGCGACGCCCAAAACTGGCTCCATTCATCAAGAAGTACTTGAAGTCTGCAGTGGCCAATGGAAAGCTGATCCAAACAAAGGGAAAGGGTGCTTCTGGTTCCTTCAAACTGTCAGCCTCTGCCAAAAAGGAGCCCAAGCCAAAGGTTGCGGCTGCTGAGAAGAAGGTCAAAACCAAGAAGGTAGTCACCAAGAAAGCCGGGGCCACCGTAAAGAAAGCTGCCGGTGCTGCTGACAAGAAACCCAAGGCTAAGAAGGCCGTTGCCACCAAGAAGACTGCCGAGAAGAAGAAAACTGAGAAGGCAAAGGCCAAGGATGCTAAGAAAACTGGAGTTGTAAAGGCAAAGCCAGCAGCAGCGAAAGCTAAGCCGGCCGCCGCAAAGCCAAAGGCAGCCAAGGCACCAAAGGCCAAGGCAGCAGCGTCCGCTAAGCCCAAGAAGGCAGTAAAGAAAGCAACTGCTCCAGCTACCGCTAAGAAGCCGAAGGCCAAGACTACGGCGTCCAAGAAGTAAATTAAGATAATCTCTATTATCGCAATTTTAGATTTCGAATTCTGAAATTTGAAATTAATTTAAACAAGCCCTTTTCAGGGCTACAAAATCTTCTTAAAGAGACCAAAAATTATCAATGTTTTAAATATGGAGTGTTTAACTGTAGAGTAGATCCGCCTATACCAATTAAATCCTTTTTTAGGATTTGGTAATAGCATATCTCAGTGAAGTAGTCATTTCCGACCCTATAAATTATATATATTCTTGATCAGCATCAACAACTGAATCGATATAGCGTTGGTCGTGAGGAAAAAAAAATATTACTACATTTTTGGAACATTTTTTAAGGGGTTATATTATTGAAATTGCACATTTATTAACCCTATAAAACCGCAGAACAGCATTTTGTTTTAAAAATTTTACTTTTATTTATATATTAAATAAGAATAGGGCTCTTGAAAATTTCGTTTCTTTGGTAAAACTTGTTGTGGCCCTGAAAAGGGCCTTTTTAATGTTCCTCCGCATCTGCGAGAAAATTTACTTGGAGCTGGTGTACTTGGTGACAGCCTTGGTTCCCTCACTGACGGCGTGCTTAGCCAACTCTCCGGGCAGGAGCAGGCGAACAGCAGTTTGGATTTCCCGACTGGTGATGGTAGAGCGCTTGTTGTAGTGCGCCAGACGAGAAGCCTCGGCAGCAATACGCTCGAAGATGTCATTCACAAAGCTGTTCATGATGCTCATCGCTTTCGAGGAAATGCCAGTGTCGGGATGGACCTGCTTCAGGACCTTGTAAATGTAGATAGCATAGCTCTCCTTCCTCTTCCGCTTCTTCTTCTTGTCGTTCTTGGTGATGTTCTTCTGGGCCTTGCCAGCCTTCTTGGCTGCCTTTCCACTAGTTTTCGGCGGCATTATTTCACTTCACTTCACTGCACGATTCACTGATCATAGCAGCAGTTCAGTTTTCAAAATTCCATTTATTTGTCAGTTGATTTAAAGTATACATTTTGTACTTCTTAGCCTAATGTGTAATAATTAGTGGAACTAATTCTAATATTACAGTTTTTCATGATTTGCAGCTTTTGTCATACGCTTATTGCTTTTCATGACGCTAGATTTTACATTGGCTTATTTGCTATTTGTTGCTTAATATTGATTTTTGTTTTTTAATTAGATTTATAATTTTTTATAATTTTGGGAAAAGTTTTCAAGTAAAAACCCAGCTTAATTTATGTCTTATAGACAGCATGTTTGGGGGGGGGAGGGGTGGGTTATATTTACAAGGGGAGTGGAATATTTACAGGGGGAGTTTACATTACTGGTATATTAAACCGTCTCTTGGATTTACTGAATTGTTTTTTCTATGGTAAAATATTAAATTTTTGTTTGTTTTAATTTATTTGATATGATATGATATTAAATTTTGTTTGTTTTAATTTATTTGATATGTTTTTTTATAGTTATTATCGATGGCTTTTCTGAGTATTTGTCTTTCAAAAATTCTTAGTTTTTGCATTAAATTTGATTTAATGCTCATCCATGCTGCATGCCCATACAGTAGGATTGGTTGAATTAATTTGCGGTAGGTTAGTATTTTAATCTGTTCTAATTTGTTATTTCTGTTATTGTTAGGTATGAATATGTGAAGAAGGCTTTTTGTTTTTATTTTTGCTCTGATTAAGGTATTGTCTATATGTGTTTTAAAGTTTAGTTTTTCGTCATACGTGACCCCTAGATATTTAAGTTCTTTATTGAATTTAATTGGAATGTTATTATATATGAATAGTTTGGGTTTATAGTATTTTGAATTTTTATATAGTTTTTGGATTTTAGGTCCTTTGAAGAAGCAGCTAGTGCATTTATCACAATTTAGCTTTAATTGCCATTTTGTGAAATATTTTGAAAGCTTGTCTAAATATAGGTTGAACTCTACTTCTAGGCTTGCGGTGGAGCCCCCAGAGCCGAGAATTAGAATGTCATCTGCATATGTTAATTGGATTATATCAACTGTGGTTTGGGGGTTTTGTATATAATTGGGCAAGTCATGAAGATAAATATTGTATAATATTGGTCCTAGGAGTGATCCTTGTGGTACTCCTGCTGTAATATTTCTTATTATGGAATTTTCTTGATTTTGGCTTGTGACATGAAAGGTCCTATTAGTTAGGTAACTATGGATGATTTTGAGTATGTTATGATTGAAGTTTAATAATTTCATTTTGTATATCAGTGCATTAGTCCAAACTGTGTCGAATGCTTTTTCGAAATCAAGGGCACAGGCTACTGTGCCTCTTTTTTTATGGATGTTTTTGAAAATGAAGGTGTTAGCTCTATGGAAGGCATTGCTAACTGATATGCCTTCCCTGAAGCCAAATTGGCCTTCATTTAGGACATTATTTTCTTGTATATGTTTTTATACCCTTGCAGGGTATTATAATTTCAGTCAGAAGTTTGCAACGCAATGAAGGAGGCACCTCCGACCATATAAAGTATATATATTCTTGATCAGGATCAACAGACGAGTCGATCTAGCCATGTCCGTCTGTCCGTCTGTCCGTCTGTCCTTCTGTCCGTCTGTCCGTTTCTACGCAAACTAGTCTCTCAGTTTTAAAACTATCTTAATGAAACTTTGTAGTTAGCCTTTTATATACTCTCACTCATATATGTATATGTCGGAACGGGCCAGATCGGACGACTATATCATATAGCTGTCATAGGAATGAGCAGAAAATTTTTACAAAAAAAATTATAACATTTTCAGTTTACAACAGATTTTTATCAAATTTGAGATATAGCCATTTTATTATACTCTACAATTCTGTCTAAAATTTTATGAAAATCGAACTACTATATCATATAGCTCCCATAGGAACGATCGAGAAATTAATACAATTAAAAATTACAACTATTTCAGTTTTAAACAGATGATCATCAAGTTTGAGGTGTAGCCATTTTATATTAATCTTAAATTTTGTGTAAAATTTCATGAAAATCGGACGACAGTATCATATACATAGGTGCCAAACAAACGATCGTTTGGTGTAGAGGAAAAATGCAAATCTGTG